TCGGATCGTTGGCAATGGGTGAGAGATAGAAGAAACCAAAGATGGTGTATGATTATTGACTGAGTGATGCGTAGGAAGATTAGAAGGTAAAAATGTGGAAGGTAAACAGTGAACTGCGGGAAACTGAACGCTGACAGAGTTGTGAGCGCGATTGACACTTTCCAGCTGCCCATACCGCAGAAGGCTAGTTTTTCTTAAGGCACACAAAGACAAACAGACAAAAACAATGTAGAGCTTAAGTGCATTGGTTCAAGTTGCCACACTTCATAGTAGCATGCAAACAACAAGTAGACAGGAGAGACTGATATCAAGTTAGAAAAAGATGTATGCGAGGAGACGAAATTAAAAAATTTAGGAGTCAACTAGTTCAAACTTTAGAAGACGTCTATGAGTGAACACATCTGCGCCGCTACTGTGACTATATTTCAGACAGGCCACTACAATTCAGTTCTCAACCATTGATTCCAATAGTCTCGGGGAACTAAACCAGGTAGTCTGCACTTCCCTACACGGCTAAGACCAATAGTCAGGGACTTCATCGACTAGTGCTACGTCTTGGACTGACCACCCCCAACCCTCTTCCAACCTAATCCAGCCAGCTTCCCCTAGAATGGCACCTTGAGGTGGGCGGTGACTCGGCATGCACAACACATGTCCAAGCCATCTCAGTTGACTAAGGTTCATAACCTCATCAATCGACTTGCCTGTTTTGCTTATTACCCTTGGCCTCACCCCAACATTGCTCACGCAGTGGTTCACAGGGGAAGAGGTTGAGGAAACTGTAAGGGACATAATATTAGTAATAGAAATAGTTTATGAAAACAAAGAAAGAGGTAAGAGTGGGAAAAAAGAGAGAAAGAATAGATGATGATCAAATGAATCTCGCATGCCTTTGGAAGTGTGCGAGTGTTAGTTGATAATTTCTGGCTGCCCACAATTTGACAGTCGATGTCATCTTGAGCTATCTGAACGAAACGGTGATTTAGTCTTCCATAATCGCAAAGTTAAGGGATATGTGCTACAGGCTAGAAACATATAATTGTTTCAAGGGCTTTCATTTCAGTAAAGTTGCATCCATACTTAGAAAATCTCATCGTCGGCGAAAGAAAACTGTAGGGCAAAGGAGAATATAGTTTTTCGTGAAAAAATTTTCCGATACCCTGTTTTCTTTCAGGCAAGAAGACAGCAAAACTAAACTGCCATCACACTCCTGCCTAAACAGTAGGACGATTAGACTCCAACCCCACCATAGCATAAGTTATTTACACTATGAAGCTAGTTGCCTTCAGCTGGAACACTACTTGACAAACCTTTCTGTTGATAAATACAATTATTTTCCAGAAAAGCTGCTGCATCATAAGTGATATTGCATCATATTGACTATCCTATAAATGTCATTAGATACATTATAAATATCATATGTTTCTAGTATCCTGTTGTTGATTAACCAAGTGGTTAATAAATTACACCTTAATCACTAATCATGGTGTTCGGAGCAGGAAACCACTAAGCGTTATTCGGTGACTTTATTATAGCATATCCAGTTCATATTTGGTTACGGGTGAAAAGTTGAAATTCAGAAAAGTAAATGAAGAATTTCAATCACTCATTTTATAATTTACAGAAAGCCAAATACAACTAATCTAATTACTTTTGCTAAACACAGTTATCATCACTACTGCGACAATCGGTCAAAATGTCAGAACTTCCAGAATGTGTATCCCAGTATCTACTCATAAAAATGGATTTCAAGAACACAAGTCATCAGTCATAGGTGAAACAAAGGCTGGGTCATAAGACCCCCTCATTTTTCCTTTGCATACAATTATAATTAAATGCAGAGCAAGAGAAAAAGGAGGATTTCTACAGACAACTTCAATCAACACGGACAAGACGTCAGTTGGGATATCAAAATTCTATGGCGACATGAATGCCAAACTGGGAGGGACAACAGAAGAGAACTAACATGGGTCGAGAGGCGCTAGGTGAATGAATGAGAATGGAGAATTGTTTGCAGAATTCTGCGCATTCAACGATTTGGTGATGGAGGCAGTGTGTTCAGGCACAAAGATATCCACAAAGCGACATGGATTCACCAGAGGACAACTAAAAATCAAATCGACTTTATCTCAATCTCAAGAAAATGGAGACGCAGTCTACTTAACACAAGGTCAAGAAGAGGAGCAGATGTAGGTTCAGACCACTACTATCTAGTCAAGGAACCTTCCAAATCAAGTTAAAGCCTTCAAGGAAGCTGGTGATAGACCTCAATTCAAGTACAACACTCGGAAACTGAAGGATGAACTACAAAGGAGATCTTCAAGGCACCCATCAAGACAAAATGGAGACATCGAGCAACATCCTGAAGAAACCTGTGTGGAAGAACACTGGAAGTCTTTGGAAGAGATGTGGAAGAAACCTGCACAACAGTATTAGGAAGGAAGAAGAAAGAAGACAAGGAATGGATCTCGACGGATACCTGGAAGCTGATAGAGGAGAGGAGGATGGTGAAGCAGAAGATAAACCAGTACAAGGATGCTCAACGACAAGAGGAACTGAGTACAATGTATAAAACACTGGACAAAGAAGTGAAGAAGAGTGCACAGAAAGATAAAAGATGCTTCCACGAACACTGGAAAGTGAAGCAGAACAGACTGCAGGTTGGAGAGACCTGACGACATTATATCAAATAACCAGGTTGCTATCAGGGAAGAGATCAACACAGATGAAACCAATACAAGATGATGACGGAAATTTAATTACAAAAGAAGAGAAACAGAGGAAACGATGGGCCGACCACTTCAAGAAGCTCTTGAATCGACCACCACCACCAGCACTTCGTCCAGAAATACCACCTGCAGCCCGGCCACTAACTACAAGTGAACATAAATCCTCCAACAAAAATGGAAGTCCTGAACGCCATAAAGCTACTGAAATGTGGAAAAGCAGCAGGACCAGACGGAAGCACTGAAAACAGACGCAGAGACAACAGCAGACATGCTCACACCACTATTGCAGAAGGTGTGGAAGGAAGAGAAGGTACCTGGCGATTGGAAGAAGGGTTGCCTCGTCAAACTGCGAAGAAAGGAGACCTCAGTGTTTGCAGGAACTGGAGCGGAATCACTCTCCTGTCCACCCAAAGCAAAATATTAAGGCGCATCATCCTGAAGCGGCTAAAGGATGCACTAGATTCAAAACTACGACCGGAACAGGCAGGCTTCAGGAACTACAAATCATGTGCAGACCAAATTGCAACGCTTCGCATCATCATAGAACAGAGCATAGAATGACAGTCAACTCTCTACCTCAAATTCATCGACTTTGAGAAGGCCTTTGACAGCGTCGACCGAGAAGTTATTTGGAAACTGCTTCATTACTATGGAGTACCGCAAACCTTTATCCACCTCATTCAACAACTATATGAAGATGCCACATGCCAAGTAATTCACAATGGGAAGCTCAGTGATGCTTTTGAAGTGAAGACAGGAGTGAAACAAGGCTGTCTATTATCACCGATGATCTCCCTGATTGTGGTCGACTGGATCATGCAGCAAACAGTGGGAGAGAGAAGAGGGGGATACACTGGACAGGGAAAAGAACCTAGAAGACTTGGATTTCGCCGATGACTTGTGCCTGATGTCGCATAACTTGAAGATCTACAGGCGAAAACTAAAAAGTTGACAGAAGAGACAGGGCAGCGAAGACGGGACTTCAAATGGATGTAAAGAAGACAGAAGTGATGAAGATATCCAACCAACAACAACAACAACAACAACAAACTCCAATCAACATCAACGGGAGAAACTAAAAGAAAGTAACCTCCTTCACCTATCTAGGAAGCACTGTTTCAACTACAGGCGGCACAGACCAGGATGTCAAAGCCAGATCGGAAAAGAAAGACAGGCGTTCATTAGCCTGAAACCAGTGTGGAGATCTTCTGCACTCAGCATAAAGCAGGACAAAGTCTGGATTTCAACACCAACGTCAAGTCAGTGCTTCTGTATGGCTCAGAGACTTGGCGAGTTACGAAAGGCATTTCCAACAAACTACAGACATTCATCAACAACTGCTTACGCTGGCTCCTGAAGATCAGATGGCCAGAAAGAATAGGCAATAAGATGCTCTGGGAACGAACCAACCAAGAACCTATCACCCAGCAAATATGCAGGAGGAAATGGAGATGGATTGGGCATGCACTGAGAAGGCCAACTGAGGACATCACGCGTCAGGCCAGTTGCTCGAGTGGAATCCCCGTGGGAAGCGACGAGTTGGACGTCGGTGCCGAGGGTGACATGGAGGAGGTCGTGCGAGCAGGAAATGAGAGCTTCTTGGCTGTCGTGGAACCAGGTTCAAAAGATCTCAGAGAACAGAGGTCACTGGAGACGTGCTACTGAAGCCCTATGTTCCACTAGGAACCCAAGGGACTAATAATAATAATAATAATACAATTATAATTATAACTTGTCACAAATATAGGAGTCGAAAAATATTCAAAAAAGCAAATCATTTATCTAGGGAAGATCCCACGCTATTTTATGGAGATGAACAATTTTCAGAAGGGGAGGTCTTGGAAAGTACGATTACTTTTTATTTGTCTTCATTATTAATCGTGGTGTCTTTGGGGGTCGGCAAACACTTGGTGTTACCTAAAGACTGCATCACAACACTACAATATCTTTTAGCTCATAACACTTTTTCATACGTAGGACCTCAAGGAATAATCGTTACAGCCAGCATAGCTTGTTGAGTCATTGTGATATGAAAACCTGAGCACAACCCTAAGACAGCGGCCATCAGTCAAAAAAAACGACTAAATATTGTGAAGTTGGTGTCAATCTGTGAAATCAATCAAACCCCTATAAATCACCTAATCGAATATCTTTCTGTAGTGATGAGTTGTTACAATTTGTGCCGATGCACTTATGTACGCAGCAATAAATTGTAGTCTCTCTATCAAAATAAATAGATGAAACATTACTACACTAGACTGTTAAACTTACTCATCCTCATCAGCAACTCTTTTACGGCCCAAATTGGCGAAAGCTCTTGTTGAGCTACCATGTGTTCCAGTAAAAGCACTGTGCTGTATAAGAACTTCATTGGGATCTGAATAGCCTTTACTATTACGAGAGCCAAGAGATGGTGGCGGTGGGACAGATGCACCTCCAATCCTGGCATAATTCGGAGGTTTAGTATTTCTATAGTCTCCAGACCTTCCTTGCTCATCTGACTTTTCATCGTTGAAGACTGAATGTGTTGACAAGCTGTGCTGGGGACCAGAACCAGATATAAAATGCATACCCCATCTGCCACCACGTCTACCAGATGACATGTTGCACAGTACGATAACAGAAGGTTCTGAAATATTAGTTCACTTCAAAACTGTTACTAAAATGAATAAACATCAGGGGAAAAACTTGGAACTTAGTTTTATATATATATATATATATATATATATATATATAACTTAGAAAATTGATCGTGTGCAAACCATGGATTTAAATTCATTTATGATAAACTGACTTATTCTATGGTCCAAAAAACTAGTCGACATAATACAGGCACTTTACTACAATGGATCAGGGAGTTTCTTGTTAGAAAAAGGCAGAGAGTAAGGATCAGTTCAAATATCTGTTCCCAGATACTAGTACAGAAAAGCACTAGAGCCAATCGTTACTTTCATCATGTGCAAACTAATTAAAGAAATTAATGAAATCTATGGTTCTCAATGTTAATGTTAAAGTTTGGCGGGAAATAAAAGAGGTAACAATGATGCCTGAACTCCTTAAACAGATTTCAACAGCTCATTGACCTGGTCAAACATATGGTTGGCGTCTATTAACGCAACTAATTGCTAAGTCATACACATAGGATATATAGTCAGGAAAATATACATCGGTGAGTTCGTCTACCCTAACTCCAAATTTTAGTGTTGGTTAAGTGATAAACTCAAAGTTGTTTGGGTTTTATATTTGTGGTTAAGAATACTTTACTCATCTGAGCTTCTTATTAATGCACTCAATAAAGCAAAGGTTAATGGTAGTGGGTAACTATGATGATATGGATTCGCTGAGGATATTCCTCATGTACAGCATACACTTGGAATAATCAACATTATTATTGGTCCTAAAATGAATATCTAACTTTTGTTTGAAGTTTTCTAGAAGTGAAACTATCAGTACCTGATTGAAAGGAAAAACCCATAGTTAACAGATTATTACTGTCAAAGATGTTTTGAATCTTTATGAGAACCATTTTGTGCTCACTCATTAAACGATATCTTCTTAGATAGGGTTTAAGGCTGGAATTTAGAGGTGATCTGTTAGAACCAATAAGATAATAGGCGACAATACATGATCATGTTTTCCCAATCCATTTAGGGTGCTTAGATGCAGTGGAAAAATCTTGTTGAAATGCAACAGCCATCTGAGTTACATATCTCTACACTTATCCCAAAAGAGCAGTATCTTTTTAAGAATACACTAACATAACAGCCAAGTTTGTCCCCAGATGAGATTGGACATGAAAGCTGTAAGTTGTAGCGAACGGTTTCGTTGATAATACTACTAGAGTTCTGAATAAAAATCTTGATGCCAGAAGCTTTATTTGTAGATAATTGACAATATGCAGAGAAAGTTCTAATCTCTTTTCAAAAGTTGAGCAGGAAACCAGTTTCTTATGTACAGTAGAACCTACCTCCAGCACTGTCATGTATCAGCATTATTTTGCACATAGTCGGGCTAAGCGGGAGTAAATTCTTCAAGGCCTATTCTTACAGTTTGTTCAGGTTTTCTTGGAAAAGACTGGTACCCACTGAATGATTATTTTTTCTTCTCTAAATCTTTAGATCATCAACATAGACTAAAAACACTGAAGAGCCGATCATAGAGTCCTGAGGAACACTGTTAGACATTGGTACCACCATACTGTTGTAGGCATGATTTTTAAGTTGTATTTTTTTTGGTAACCATGATATTTTTTTAAGATTACTTGAGGGGAACTTTGTTTTTCTTCGTACTTTGTTAGGTAAGTAACTTCTTCAAGACTCATGGTGGTTAGAACATTGTCTGGGGACTTCCTTCTTATTCTTGGTTTATAGCATATATGTGTACTGAAATGCTGGAAGATCTTCTTAGTCTTTGTTGTTTCGAACTTGATGGAATTCAGAACTTCACAAGCTGAGTTAAACGCAAGACCTAGGATTTCCATACCTGATCAAAGTTGCACAAGCACTTGCCAGTATCAGAAGCCTAACCGATTTATAAACACCTACGTCACTTGGGTAATGTATGATAAGTGAAACATTATTTGTGTTCTTTGAGACAACATAAAGTCTTTTTATTTCAGTATAATCAGGCAAACTATTTAGGATACAACAGTTATCCCAAGGAAAACCACGATTACGAATAAGTTTGGCGGTGCTAGATTTTAGTGATGAACTTGATAAAGAGCAGATATCACAGATACAAAAAATTGAATTGTGTTGACCAGCAACCCTCAGAATTTTGTCGCTGATAAACTCCTGATGTGGATTCGGGTCTCGATATCAATCTAACCAGGCCCGTTTATCGAGATATCCGATTATCTGTCAAAGGGCGGGTATACTGCGTTTTGTCCTGTTATACGACTATGAGAATTGACCGTTAGAAGTAGAAGAAATGAAGCAGCTGCAGGGTTTTGATCATAGATGTCTTCGTAGCACTGCTGGCGTTTGGTGAAATCACCGTGTGAACTATGCTGAGGTGAGGCGAAGGGCACTAGACAAGACAAACAAGTCGATTGATGAGGTTGTGAACCTTAGTCGACTAAGATAGCTTAGAAATGTACTGTGCATGCCAAGTCACCGTCTAGGATTAGATTGGAAGAGAGTTGAGGGTAGCCAGACCAAGACGTGGTATCATTCCATGAAGACCCTGATTGTTGGTCTGCGTATTATGTGGAGATGTAAACTGCCTGGCTAGGGTCCCCGAGACGAAAGAAATCAGTGTTTGAGGACTCTTGATGACATGGCTGGAAATCGGTCATAATGACGCGGATGTGTTCGCTCCCTGACATCTAAAGCTTGAATATTTGCAATAATCTTTATCTGCAAACTGTTTATTCTCTCACACAACTTTGATATCGGTATTTTTCCATCCATTTGTTCTTTGTATACTACAGTGAAGTGCGGCAATTTGAGTTGATGCACTTATATGTGAGGTTCTATGTTGACCTTATTTGTCAGTAAGCCTCAAATTTTTCCCAACACTTTCTTATGATAACTCCCAGTCTTAAAATGCTATTGCGCACAAAACTCAATGCGAAGAGATAACTAAAAGGAAATTACAGTATGATCATAAAAATCAAGTGAAACATCCACCAATAAGATAGGCAAAATATTGTTCTCATCAAGAAAACTTGAATCTGGTTTACTTGCTTTTTTTTCTTGGGTCCGTATAGAGTAGATTTGTTCACATAGCCTATATTACTGTATTAGTACTATGAAAAGTCAGTCAATATTTGAAATCCTCATGAAATCACCCATTAGTAATGCATGAATGAGTTTTTTGGAATATTTCACTCCAGGATTTAATCGGATTCTTTTTTACAGAAAACGTCGTCTATAAACAACTTTCAATAAGTGGTCGCTGCACTAACCTTTTACAAAAGAACAAGGCAATTCTATTGTGTAGTGAATTTTATTTGTTACTTCGTGAACCTACAGATTAGCGCTTGCGCAAAGTATAATACTACCTCCAAAACCTTTGCTTTTATTCTTGTGGGATAACTTGTAATTATCCAAAGATTTCATGTTCTCTAATTCAACTGGTAAGCCATACCACACAGCAACAATTCAGTAATCTTGATGATTAAATACACCTTGAAGTTCCCACAGCTCAGAGCATAGCTCAAGTGCATTGGTGTATTAACGACAGATTGCTGTTGCATATGGAGAAGTCACAGATGACTTACTACCTCGTGTAACATTTGGACACGATGTGTATGGTCTGTCAGCCTACACTGTTTAATGCTCATCTCTTAAAGTTTGACAAGACCCTCCTTGTAAAGCAACATTATCTTTTATTGTTACTCCAGTCAGTCAATCTAGGCTTAAATTCGCCGATTTTAATGGCCCTCAACTTTACTACACTAATTGTGCAGCATTGCAGTGATCACGGCTGGTGAGTGTAAGTTTGTAATCAAGAGCATAGAGAGATGAATGTTAGATGGTTGGTGCGGACAAGAGACTCTTGTTATCACATTCTGCCTCACACTGTTCAGATTAAGTTTCTCAACCAAGTAAAGCGATTAGTTGATATTACCTTGTCATAAACCTTGCTAAAATCAAAAAACACCACGCCCTTTACTAATCCATTATCCCTAACCTTTGCGCATACCTCTGTTGTAAATTCATTACACCAGGAAGTTTGACCTGGAAGCCATGTCACTGCTGTGCTAATATTTTTAAATAACTCTGAAATTTACTATTAATTATATTTTAAACGTACTGTAAGGCTTACAGGCAAGCAGTTACCAGTTACCTATTGTCGTCCTTAAGGAAGGGTAAATAATGACATTTTTACAGTTTCTGAGCAACCGTTTTTAAACAAAAGCATGTCAAATATCACCCTTATTAGTTGGGCGATTTCAGTCAGTGATAATAATACCCTAGAATATAACCCATTACGAACTGGTGATTATTCAGGTTACTGCGGTATCTAGATAACGTTTTCTCAATAATCAAAGCAGGTGCCATAAAAGGAGCAACAACCGTGATAGCATCTCAGTGTTCTGTCGATAGAAAAAACTCCACTAAAGTAGTTCAACAGGTTATCAGCCTGATTTGTTAACAGAGAAAACAACTGAACTTCAAAATGTCATCCGATTACTTGAAAGTGCTTATTCAACAGATCATAGAAAACCATTTGGAGACGATGACGACCCATATACATTCTGAATCTGGATACGAAACTATTGATTAATTTCGGTGCGAAGCAGTGGGAATCAATCGACAGAAAGGACTGGACCATTCACTTTGCTTTGAATGAACCTCAAAATGAATGCACGGTCCATAGAGTACCTATTAAACACTGCAGCGATTGAAACCCACAAAGTAGAGAACTCGCTCCAAAGCGTTACATTATTGGTAAATCAACCTCACTCTTAGAACTACAGGCTGAAGCTCGGCAAAACTTTCGAATTCAAAAACCCTTGCAGCAGTATACTATGGCTCGATTCATCAGAGTTCCTATAAACCATATCGCCAACTCACGATGGCCATCTAAGAGTTCGGCTTTAACCTGAAGTTTCAGGTTCTTTGTTCGTATCCATACTGTCCAACTAGTTGCACTAATATGAAGTTAGAGAAGGGAGGAAACACAAATAATACTTCCCTTTCATGAAAAGCACATGTTACGTAACACTCAGAAAACGTGCATTTTTGAGGAGTAAGCAATGAAACACATCTATTATTTCAGGCTTAATGATACTATCTGGTTTTCCAGACCTCAGTAGCTGGAGGGAGGTTAGGAACTATGACTCCCTGGTTGAAAGTCAAGTGTGTAGATCAATGAGCCACAGCTCCACAAACTTTTAAAATACCATTCATAGAAAATAAGCAGGCGAAAAGTTAATGAAAATCCACTTTAAACGATCGAATCAATATGTAATTAGAATTGTTCTATCTCTTCTATTGTTAATCAGTCCATTAGTCTTCATTAATATATGAGCTCCTTGTATGGACGTCTCTTTATTGCCTGTAAATTGTGTGCGTTCTGGATCTCATTGCTAATGTAACTCAACCGGATAAGCCATAATCCACATCCGTTGTGAGTACTTATTTAGAAAATCCCATCGCCCAGGCTGAAGTGGAGTGGAATTTGAACTCGAAATCCATTGCTTTAAAGTCGAATGTTTAAGATAATGAGAGATATTTTCACCAATATAAGTTGTGTCTGTTCAAAGTTTGATGATCAAAAACGTAATGTGAGATTTTGCATAAGGACCACATCCTACTAATGGTTTATGATTGTGAATTCACGATGAATCAGTCCTGGAGAACTGCTGAAGAAATAGCCGTAGGGCATGAAATATTAAATGGGCTTTCACCGCTATACAAATATACATATGTATATTTGATAAGCCTCCATGTAAGTGTACTTCCAATGTGATTTTCAATACGTGCCTACCGCATATATGTGTGTGTATATACACGTAAATATATCACAACGTAACATAAAGGTATGGGTTAGCGGCATCTAGGCATTTTGCTAAGTTTAAGAATAGATTATCTATTTTGCTGCAACCATATTAGCCTATAAGTACATACGTTTATATAGATGTGCAAATGGAGGGATTGTGCAATACATACTAACAATTGGTATTAATAAACATATATGACACTTGCCGATTAACTACAGAGTTGTGATAGGTTATGACATTTTCAAGTAAGTGGATATGCTTATTGTAACAATGTGCGTCTACTCAGTTACCCATAGGAATCGGCTGTCAATCACCACTTACAACTGATTACTAAATGTTTTCGGCCATATTATCCTGAAGATTAAATACGCTATAATAATCAGTGGTAATCTGTCCCAGTAGTGCAACAAGGGCCCAGATATAAGCGCAAATTTAAAGAACGGAGACCAGTTGAAGGAAAAAGTAGAAAAACGCTTCGTTTGACCCTGCATTTCCAACTGAATTTAGTCTCATAACACCGCGAAAATATTGACCGGGTAATGAAGGTTAGCCATTTGTTTCTTTTTTAGAACCTCGATGTGAGACAAATAAAAACAAAAACCCCAAACCCATAGTTAAATTCGGTACTACAAGAACAACCGAAAGACGTTCGCACATCGTAATGAAACCACAGCGAAAATATCTCAAGTATTTCAGTGTCTCTCCACAGCTATCAAATGCATTGATGAAAACATACTTCGGACATTACATCCTATATTTGTGCAATTTTACCTAGAATACTGCATCTAAGCTACTAGTAATCGCATCATAAAAGATGCCGAGCCACCAGCATACTCACTGGGTCGGTACTAAGATGATAACTGATGTGCATAATTTATTTTATAAAGTCATTTGTGTCTAAATTTGTTCCCGCAGTCTAAACTTAGAAGTGGTAAACTTATATTAGCATCCTGCACTCCTAACAGTGACTTTAAAATGAGGTATAGATTATCTCCGAAACTACAGCTACAAAACTCAAAGCCAGGGTTAAATTGGAGTAGTGTGGACCTATACAGTTCAATCGTCTACGAATGGAATACCACTTTCCCTGATGGTCAATGACTGTAATTCCTTGCACAAGCAGGTGCTATCATCTACTTCAGACAGCTCATATAGGAGAAAATTAGATCTTCACAGAAGAACCTAGTGCGAGGATTACCATACAGATTTGTTGCTATTACTGGACTTCAAACTTTGTGTTGTAGAAATAGTGAACGATGGTTTCTTGCGTTCTACGTTTTTCCAAAGGCTGAGGTCTCAGTCTTTTCACATAGTTTTGAGTGATAAGGATAGTAGGCTAGTTGGTCTGTGTTCAACGTTGCAGATTTTTCTGTCAAGATCTAGTTTCTTCTTTAACGTGTTGACCGAACGCGCTGATACAATGTGTTGAAGTAATGAGTTCCAGTCGTTGACCATACTATGGGAGAAACGCAAGTTCAGGTTAAGTTGATTTAACTGCAGTTTTTGGATATTTTATCTCGGAGATAATCAATCCTAGTAGGACAGAAAAGATAGGACATATCAGTACCGAAATCCTTATTAAGGATATGGAATATCAGTATGAGATCATCCTGTGGGAATAAGTTTGGCCAATCCAGTCGTTCTTCATGGGGTAGATTTAAAAGGCCTGTCACAAGCTTAGTACCTACCCTTTGAACACGCTCGAGTACGTCAGCATCCTTCTTTAGACATGGACTGGCCTCCTGAATGTAGCATTACAAGTGGGGTCCAGCTTAAGTAGGACAGAGTATTCCGAACATATCCTGATCAAAACTTTTGAAAGCTCTGCAGATAGACCATAATACAGGAAAGCCGTTTGATGCAGTCACTACAGTATGCTGAAGTCTTCAAATCATGGCTTATGATGACACCTAAGTCTTTCAGTTCAAAGACTGGAAGTAGTGGTGTATTATCAACGGGACACTGGAAACAGCTGCTATGGCCAATGTGAATTATTGCAATTTTATTAGAGTCAATTTCCAGGCACTAACATCTGGACCAACCTAACAGTTCAACCAAATCCGCTTGAAGCGCATACTTATCCGCATCACTGCATATGGCTGTGAATTTTCACATCATCGGCAAATAGCAGCACCGAAGAGTTGAACATTTTTGGTAACTCGTTGATATATAACAGGAAAAGTGGTGGACCTAGGATTGTTCCTTGTGGAACTCCACACATCACAGGTTTCCATCCAGACAGTATCCCATTTAACCTTACTCTTTTCCTTTTATCGTACAGAAAGTCTCTAATTCAGGCCTGTAATGAAGCACCAAACCCGGAAGAGGAGAGCTTTCCTATTAATTTCACATGTGACCCTTTGTCGAATCCCTTACCGAAGTCTATAAACACTGCATCTATTGGCAGCTTGCAATCACGGGCTCCAACCCATTCCTCTGTTGTGATGAGGATTTCGTTAAACGGCAGTGTTCAGTACGAAAACTGCGTTGCTGTTATGCCAAGAGATTGGTCGATTCAACATGCTTCAGTAACTTGTCACGAATTATTTCCGCTAAAACCTAAATTACTATGCTAGTTAAGCTAACGGCGTGATAGCTAGCAAACAACTAACGACTACCAGCTTTAAAAACTAAGATGATTATGATACCTTTCCAGTCTCCATTGTGGAGCGTTTGAGATAAAGACATATTGAAAGGATCAGTGATCAGCTCGGCAATGAGCATTAACTCTGAACTGCGAGCTTTGTAGCATTGGCTCGTTTTATAGCACTGAAAAATTATCCTGCCTGGTAAATATATCTAAACAACACAATGCTGAGAGCCTGAAACCACATAAAAGTGAAAAACAAAAAATCACCACAAACCGAATTTACCGCGTAAGAGACTCAACCCCACTCTTCACTATCCACCACTGAAGCTAACAGACCAAAGTGCTTGTGTTCGTTCTTGCAGTAGTTTTCCTTGTATGCGTCTATTTCTTTCTAAATGCACTCACGGAAGGGGCTACCATCAGTCGTCCTGTTAACCCTAGACCTAATGTGTGGCGCGCAGATATTTCACGTATAAGGGATCGAGCATTCGGTAAAGATTGAACTATTGTCAAGGACTTATAAACCTAGAACGTTTAAGATGGGTTTTTAAATTTACTCGAGATGGTGATGATGCCATTTATTTCATGGTCAATACGACGAATATCCCCACATCATTCTGCGGTTTGATAAAGAGTCAGAAGCTACAAAGACAGAATAAACGTTTACGTAGCTTGTTTATATAACCTGGAATGAAAACATCTAAAACTGTTCGCTGTAAAGTCCGTAGTCCGTGCAAAACTTTGAATACACAGTCTCGAATATCTTTCGAAAAACGGTTTGTATAGGATTGCCAAAACTGTCCCCAAAGACTGTTTGCATTGATTAGAAAGATTAAAAGAGAAGGTGGAATTCCCTCTCCAGTGACGGACGAAAATTCCAACCGTAAGGGGGGAACCTAATGTGTCCAAAGATGAATGCTTATCAGATTACCGTGGTGAAGTCTACTCTGTAGATCGTGATGGTGAAGTGCTCAGTAGTGTTAGTGGATACAGTGCTCATAAAATAAGAAACAGTCTTCAAATCTCTCTTCAGTCTCGAACCCGGAAAATCCATGGGTTCCAATGGGTTGTTCTCCAGACTGCTATATTTGTAAGCGGACGTGAATGCTGAACCAATTGCTGATCTCTTCAGTATGTCCCCATCTCAGACTCGTCTCCTCAAAGGCTGGAAAAATGCTATAATCACCATAGATTTAGATTTCCGGTTCATACTCGAATTTTTGTCTCAGGATAGAAGACTTTGAGCCGATGTTGATCCTTTCACAGTAGATCTCTGCGCTTGTCCATTCCTCTTTTGAAAGAGTCAACTGATGATGCGGACACCACTTCTTCTGGGTATCAGTTCTAGGGGTTGATTAGTGGAAGCGAGAGCCAGTACTCTACAGGAACTATGTTCATCCTCCGCCTCTGTGTTCTACAACTGTGCCACCCGGAGTATCGCAACCTAGTGATAGGGGAAAGAAAAGATAGTCAGGTCCATCCATTTCTTAGAATACTGTATAGCGTGGTTAAATCCCCCTATCAGCGATAGGATAGACAGAAGAGGTTGGGCTCCTTAGAGCTATCCTCGTAGGTCAGGCCAGCCATGACAGAGATCATACGGCTGGCTGCTCTACAAATTTCTTCTAGAAGATCTGAGGCATCAATAAGACGGGGTTTTCCCACCTGTTTACAGTTTCACAGTTAAGGCCTAAGTAGGGATATGTATAAGATGGTGAACATACCACCGCTTATCCTCGCTAACGTTCTACATAATGCCCAAAGTGTGTGAAAACGTCGAGATGCCACCAACCGACAGTGTGCCATGGTTTTCAAATCATAAGTCACTATGACTCCCAGGCCATGGCGGGTAGTGAGGGTAGAGAAGCCCCACCAATATCGTAGGTTTTTCCATGTATCCCCCGAGTGCATGTTCACGCGCTCACCTAAGTTGATAAGCGGCAGCCATTTTTCTGGGACCAGGCAAACAAACTGTTTAGGTCCACCTGCAGTGCGCGCTTATCCCTGCCATCCCTAATTTTCTGCCGGATTTTTGTATCGTCAGCGCATGGAACCATGGGGGTTTTGTCATATTCAGCAGCTCATTTATGCATAGGAAAAATAGCAGGGGGTCCAAGACAGTGACTTGCGGCACTCTACCCTCTTCTGACCTCCAAGAAGATAGTTGGGGACTTATCCTTCCTTTTATCTACTACCAACGAGGAACTTTCAGATCCGTTTAAGTAGGTTGCTGGTGATTCCGAAACTTCTGGGTCTCCACAGCTACCTGGAATGGGATACCATCCAAAAAGTCTTACCGAAATACGTGAAAATTACATCTACGGGTATCCTATCCTCCTTAGACTTGAGTCAACGTTTTCTGACTGTGAGGAGGTTAACCAAGCAGAGGGAACCTCTGCGAAGGCCGTGTTGTGCGTGAGACAATAGGACCATGCTGTCTAAGTGAACTGTAATAACTTTCTTGATTACTCCCTCTAGCATTTTTACCGCATCACCAGTCAACCTAATTGGTCTGTTATTTGATGGGAGCTGCCTAGAACCTGCCTTGTAGACAGGTGTGACTACGGCATCCTTCAAATCGTAAGGATGTGTGACATCAACAAGGTGTAGTCTAAGTACAGTGGTCAGTGTTCCGATTATAGAGACTGCGAGCCCTCTGGACAGCCTTGGGTGCGGCTTACCCGGTCCTGCCGGCTTTTCCACATCTAGAACAGACCTTATTCCACTGGGCGTCAGTGCTTCTGCTGTTGAATAAGCGTCCCTAGAAGACTCCTGGTCAAGGATCTCAGCAAAATATCCAGCCATAGCTTCCGCTTTTTGCCTACTGTCTGCAAATAAACGATCAGTCTCTGCCCCCTTGTTAGAGGCGGGGATATCACGAAAAGTCTCAATCCAATGGTTCGTATGAGGAACTAACCTGTTCGGGTGTTGCAGTGCAGTCCGGGCAAGATGTATTTCAAGGTATATTTGAGATCAGCGGACAGCAGAGAGGCATTTATGTCGGGCTTCTTTGTAATGCTTCATCACTTCGGGAGTATTTTGGCGGGCAGCAAGATTCCGACACTTTTTCTCACTACGTGGCGAGATCCAGATTTCGTGCCTTATTCACGGCGGGAAGTGTCGTCGTTCCTTTCGAACAGTCCGTAGAATGAATAGTTGATTCATTCGTGAATATAAACTTTTGAAGAAGCACCATACAGCCTCAACCGGTGCTTTAGGATCGACTGTCCAGTCCTCTAAAGGGGCTACCAAGTTGGTGGCTGACATTCGCTTCCCATACGCTGGGTCCAGCTAGAGCATCGACCCGGTGCAAAATAGCTACCGTGAAGATGATCACATCATGACCAATTTTACCAGGAGATGCAAGGTGCAGGATGAAGCATACAACAAGTGTGCCAGGATACTGAGCCTAAAACTAATGGAGCATGCTGATACTCGTATCTGATCCCTACTCTAGGGCAATGTATGAGGGCCAAGGAAATCGATATTTCCACCAACTTATGGTCCAACGAGATGCGTGATGTTCCTGTAGTTAAGCCATACCGGCCAGCTGATGGTGCTCTGAAGTCTCCTACAACTGGGCATCGGCAGATATCTGTCCAGAGGATCAGCTTATTCGTGAGGAAGTCTGCTGCCTTACATCCAGAGCTGTGATATACAACCACCAGGTTAAAACTTTGTCCCTTGAATTTTAGTCAGCAGTGTAGCAGTTAACATGCTACACTTTCGTATGCAAACGTTTCTACGACTTTTATGGCCAGGGTATTCTTGGTGCGAAGGATGATGCCGCCACCTCTGAGTGCTGACCCATCACTTCTAAAAAGTAAGAATCCTCACAAATGTGTTACGCCGTCACTGATCTCAGAAAGGAACCAAGTTTCTGAGATGGCAGTAACGTCAGGACTTTCTATGCTTATCACTGAGCTCAGTCTACTTGTTTAGGAGACCATGTGAATTTATGTACAAGACGACGCAACCACTCATATGGGTTTCTGTCCTAAGGGTTAAGTCAAAGAGGGCGGACAATTGTCAAAGTAATGTTACATAGATCAAGAGTAGAGGAAAAAATCTGCAAAGAGAAAGAAAATGTTTAAGTAAATATCGATACCGCGAAATAGAGCGCTCAGGAAAGACTTTCAAAGTAACTATCTTGTTATAATAAGTTGAACACGTTCCAGCGTAACCAGCTCCTTGAAACGTGGACCAACTACCCAGATAGACTGTGCTGAGTGCGGCCTCATATCCTTGGAGCATGGAACCCTAAACACATTTCCGCCAAGTTATTTGAATGCCCTAGTGGGCAGCTGTGGTGTTTCCCTTGGACAACTCCACATGCTTTGTAGTGTTTACATGTTCTCGGAATCACGATTACCTCCCAATTTCATTTTCCAGAGCCCAAGGTAAGGGTAGTTGACTCAAGAAGAAATAAATGGAGAATTTATGCACAACGTGCACCACATCTTTTTTACTAAAACTAGTTTCCAGACTTTGAGGCCACATACGGAAAACCATAGAGAATTTTCAAACCACCACGCAACAGATTTTACTTTACAAGCTCTTTACGACGACTTTCTGAGGGCAAGGGAGATTAGTTGTGTGGAACAGGGGTCCGTAGCAGCAGGGAGTCAACGTGAGAGTATCATACTAGTTCTTCACTACTACCCAATAAACCTACTCTCTGATTTTCTTACGCCGACCAAATACTTTTGTTACTGGAAACGGGGTCGTGAACCGTGTCCTGTGTTGCAAACCCAAAGGCGAACTCCACATGGACGCTGTCCAACAGCGAGTATGGTCTCCACACTATGGTGTAGGGATCAAGTTCAAGAAAAATAACCCTGTTCTCAACTCGATATGTGGAACATGTATAATCCAGCAAATCCATCCATTTGGCAGCAATCAATGAGAGTTTATTATCAAGACCGACCTAGGAATCTATGACGGTGAGCTTAAGCAAACTTTAAGTGCGATGCGTTAGTGTTCTTTGCAACTGGACACCTATTACTAAGGCCGCAATTCGGAATGCATTGCATCGATTAGGCATGGGCGGGGATTTTAGTTTGCGTTAGTGTTCTTTGCAACTGGACACCTATTACTAAGGCCGCAATTCGGAATGCATTGCATCGATTAGGCATGGGCGGGGATTTTAGTTTGCGTTAGTGTTCTTTGCAACTGGACACCTATTACTAAGGCCGCAATTCGGAATGCATTGCATCGATTAGGCATGGGCGGGGATTTTAGTTTGCGATGCTTTGTTATGACCTAGCTCGAAAGCTGAGTCTCACGCTTATTACAGAATGACGCTTCATGAATAGTCGACCGTATCCTCGGAGTCCCTTGAATATGAAAAGGTACCTTTCCACCCCAATGACCAGCGAAACACTCTTGTCCCAACACAGAAATATCTGGGGTTATTGGGAAGATATTCGAACTCATAAGTAACCATGTTTCTGTGACTGCTGTCAAATCAGCATTCTAAAACTTGTCTAGGTTCTCTAGCACCAAGATTTTATTCCGAACAATTCAGTCACCAGCGCAGCAGACTACTGTCGCTTCCAGTGAGACATGAGACTTATGAAAACCTATCCCAAATGCGCGGACTGTCGAAATCCCGCATTCCGTATACCCAATATTTTCAGCTTTCCCACACTTATCTTTCCTGGTTTTCAGTTCGGCCATAGTTCCTGTTCTTTTTGTTTCACTATCGTGTGGTCGGTTGGGATGGATGCGCATACGCCCGTAAAGAACGCTGTGTGCAATCTCTAGGACAATCCTCCGCCTCATTTGGGCTTCCGAAACTGCTTGAAGATGCTACGACAAGCAAATCAGATATACAAACTTCTAGCCTCCTTGTTACAGGATTAGGAAACTAGAAACTTCAGACTCCATTCCCTTGTAAAACCGAAAAGTCTGCTCCGCGGGGGTCAAAGTTCTTGTCTTGTCCTCAGAATGTCGGGCGCAGTAAAACAACGTCGCGTCTTCAACGGTCCAGCGTCACCTGATAAGAAAGTGAAACATTCATGATGAGCCTCAATCATGAAAAGTCAGATACTGAGTGTAAATAGGAAGAAAACAGTCAAACAACCAAATAACATTACATCGGCTAAGGTCAGAGGCACACTGTCCATAACGAGGGTAAAAAGTATTCAAGTAAGTATCAACACTGTCAAGTAGGGTGATCAGGAAGGATTTTCAGATCATTTTTTCCGTTACGCTTACAACACCATGAAAGAGGAATGTTTGGCCCTGCTAGTTATCCCCCATGGAGAAGATCGGCACGGACTATCATTGGTTTGGCGGCAATAACTGGAGAGCATTGCAGTGCATCAGGCCTCTTGTTAAGCACATACAGACTGCCTGGATGCAGTGCTCTGAGCAGGTCCCTGCATAATTGCAGATGGAACCCTGGAAATATCTCCACCAAACCGTCTGGATGCCACTAAGGACTCAGAGTCTCGGTAACTTTGGGAGTGTCACATTTCCCGGTAGTTTCGTAATCGATTTTCGAGCTCCGGCAAGTAGAACACTCAACCAGTTTAGCAAGGTCAGTTAGAAGTGCAGACCTGTCATCACCACCGCGAATTGTTCCTCATTTCCTGATGTATTCAGCTAGCAGCCACGATAGTCAATCGAGCATCTTCAACACTTTAACAACGTAGAGAAGTAATGGTAGTGGTTTAAGGAACACCACTGATAGCAGGTTGCCACCCAGATTACATTCCATTAACGCTTACTCTTCCCCTACCTCTTGCAAATATCCCTCAATCCAGGTCTGAAGCAAACTCACTGCTGGATTTATTTGGACTTTACATTGAATGCCTTGAGAAAGCAAATGAACGATATGTCATTACGCACTTTCTCCTATATGGCATTGATCTAGTCCTTCACCAAGGGTCAATTTTTCAAAAACGAGCTTTTAAGCAGGAGACTGCGTTGGTCCGGCGCCGGTAAATTGCGTTTTTCTGAATACCTTCGCATCTCAAGATGTATTATCTTTTCTGCTATTTTAAACTTGCTATTCATGGGACTAATGGGTCAGGAGTCGGTCACCATTTGTCGATTTCTTCTTGAACGCAGAATTAACTATATCATTCAAACAGTTGCCAGGCTGCTGTGCCTACGATAAGGACATACAGGCTAGCCCAATTAAGAGGCTGTCGACAATGTCAGTTGGTTGCAATGGAATCCTAAAATCCAGTCCCTCTGGGTCCGATGGCCTTCCAGGCCGCAGGTTCCTAAGCAGTCAGAAGACCATCTCCTTTATTATTTTTGTAGATCCCTCCAGAGAAAAGTTTGTGACGGTATCAGTATCCAGAGCTTCACCAGGATTGTCAACAAAAACGTTAAGCAAAAATAACTGCTTGAAACATCTGCCGCAACTATGTCTGATTCCGCTTTTTATTTTGCTTCCCGTACGGCGGGATGATAGTAATTCTGTCACTCCCCCGAGTCGTTCTCCTAAATGAGAGTGCAGACATTTAGGACACCCCAAACTATAATCCACTTGAGACATTTAATGCTTTACGTGAAGTGCTTCATGATTGGTTAACATTTATTCCTGGTTTACAGTATTCCAGCCAAAACATCTGACCTCGCTTCCACGACTAAGTTCCATGGATATTCTCCGCATTTTAACAGCCTTCGAGTGCGACCTTCAAGCGAGGGTTACCTCCGAGAGGGTCTGAGGCATTGAGTACGGAGTAGACGGTGACGCCACCCTTTATATATACTTCTAAACATTCTGCTAACCGTCGCTACTGAACAACTTTACATCGGGAGACCAGTCCATTGAGACAGCACTATCTCTAATCGTTTATATATCCGCATATTAAAAATTTGGGGGAAGGGAAACTGGGCTGGAAATCGAATCCCGCATTCTAAACCTAAAGAGAACTGCAGCATGCCGGCTAGAAGACAACAGGGATAAATATTTCAGATCTGACACCTCTTCAGACTAGATCTCCGACATCTCATGAGTTGACTAGTTACATGTGGGATATCTGTACTCTAAACGAGTGTCCAGCACTTTTGATCAGTCAATAGATTTACATAAAAACCTCTGTCTGACTTATTAACGTTGAGTTCTTTACAGTTAATAGGGGTGTGTTAAGGCTTCGCACAACTAGGTATGTATTACAGATGGCTCGCTTCCGGGTGTAATCTGGCACGAAGACATCGGCGAAGAGATAAGGACCACGATAAATTCCTCCTACTGACGCGATAACTTGCTTAGACCTAACTTCGCAGCTGATTATTTTTAATAAGCCACTGTGTATCCGTAGGCTATCACAAATAGGTCGGATTCCGTAGGCCACCTCACGAGCCGCCCCAGCATGTGCATAACTCGGAAAGAGTGGAGATACGTTTAAATTTGCGGTTGACTACTTTCCACTGATCACTGTCACATCTGGCTTTGAGGCCTCATTGAAGCTGCCCAGCTGGGATGTTTTATCACTGAAACTACGACTATGATTGTGGCAGGCCACCAGGTTGTTTGTACATACATTCGAACAACGAGGACTAGCCTCATGAGCACCAGTCGCCAAAACTTGACTGCCCAAAATTGTTGGGCTCCCTCCCCCTTTATCATGCCAGATTTTAGGTCCAACCGCCGCCTCCCTTCAATTCGTCCCTTTCTCAAGTTGCCAGTCATCCTGAATGCTGTGTACGTATCTCAGGGCGAATTCCCCTTCTTCACTCTTCTCCCAGACTGCCTTTTAAAACGGTCACTCATGGACAAACATACCCCATTCCCATTAACTTTATCTCATAGCCTTCTTCAAATACGCTCCCAAGACTGGGCTCAGCAGATTTTGCAATGCTTTTTCAACGTCGTTTAGATCAATGATAAGTCTCTGGGACACTAATCACAACTTTTTGACTTCTGACTCCAACGGACCACAGTGTATTTTTTATCTTTATTTGTAGATACAGTATCTACGGCACATGATGCTTTCATGACCAAAATGCTTGTGTTTCCGACCAATGAAGGGCTATCTGTTGGCCTCCTATCCATCTTATAGATGTAGATCTTTGATTGAAATCTCGTCGGGTCCGCAGAAGCGTTCTCTTGGTAGAATTTTTCTAGCACAGAGAATGTGTGGGGCTTGTTGCGTGATGACGTAACTACATCCCCAGCAGATTCAATCTTGAGGTTTCTACTCCCTTTTGGTCTGCTTGGAGTCGCCAGGACAAGCGTTTGCAAACCACTACCAACCTCGATGAGTTCGTTTCCCTCTACTAGCACAAGATCCTCGGATGATTTAGACTGAAAAGTTTTTATCAAATGTGAAACTGCCTGTGTCACCCTCCGACTCCTTATTTACCACAATATTGCCACGGGCGACTATACGAGAGAGCCTTAAAGACCACTCCATCCACGGCCACTTGGGTCAATGATGTCAGCGACTACAGCAAAAGTTGTACGGACAGGGATTGGCAAATGCTCTGCCTCAAGTGTAATCCCTTCGTATCAAATACGTACGCACCTTCTGGAACCAGTAACCACAGCTGTTGCAGAGCATGACTTCTAAATCCGGGAAATTGTAACTTCGATATCCGTAAGATTTTTCATCGTTGATAATTAAATTTACACACTTGTCAAGTCTTACACATAAAAATACAACTTTTAAGTTTATAACACATTTTTCGTGATGCATCAGTCCTACTGAGTAATAACTGAAGAATTGAACAATGTTGTTTTAATAATTCAGCGGAAAGAACTTGGTGGAGAAGGAGCCATTCTTAGGAGTTGTTCTGCAAGCGTTCGAAAAGACAAAATGGCAACTTTGGGCGCGGGGATGAAGTGTTTAAAGAGCTGTGTGTTTATTCTGAACATCATTTGCCTAGTAAGTCCATACAAATTTTACACCATTGATCTTCTTAGCTATGCTCCCTGGTATTGATCGGTGCTGGAGCATATGTCGAAGTGAAATTCAGTCAGTACGGAGCCAACTTACACAAAGTTTGGCAAGCGGCACCTATCGCCATAATTGTTGTTGGAGTGGTTATTCTTATTGTGAGCTTCCTGGGTTGTTGTGGTGCTCTAAAGGAGAATGTGTGTATGCTGTATATGGTAAGTTATTATGCTGAAAGTAACCTAATGTTGTAGTATGCATTCTTCTTAATTGTACTGTTGATTGCTGAATTGGCCGCAGCCATTGTCGCAGTTGTTTACAAGGATAAGGTTTTGTCGAGTGTTAATGATTACAGCTTTTAGATTGATGCAGAAGTTGACACTCTGATGACTGATGCCTTGAAACATGAAACTGAAGAAATACGCAATTTCATGGACTTGGTACAATCCTCAGTAAGTTAGAGCAATTCTACTCTAAGTTCGTAGTTTCACTGTTGTGGAGCCAAAGGTCCAAGTGATTACACCCCAACTGTCCCTAATTCGTGCAAAGGCGAGGGAAATGAAGTATTCCCTGAGGTAAGTTGAGTGTTTATGTTGACGTATGCCTAATGTTATCAGTATTTCTGATAAAATTAACCTTTTTCTTCGCCTTGTAATGTTTGTGTCACGTAACAGGGTGTTAATAGTGAGCTTTAAGATTGTGGTTTGAGGAAATAAACTGGAATTTTGAGCATCAATTAGGTTCTATTTATTTACAGACAAGTTCCTAAAACGTAGTTTTTCTGGATGCGATTTGTAAACCCTCAGACTTTAATTATTACCAACCTGGTTTATTTATTACAAGCTTATTTTATAGTTAATTCAGTGTTAAAAAACGTAAACAAAGGTTTTCGGAACGTTCCGCTGGTTAGTCGCAGTTTCTGCATTTATACTTATATTAAAAATATTTAAGTGAAACACTACAAAGCCGTTTCGGCTTTTCGAACGGGCTAGTGATCTCTTATGGTTTCTAACTTCTTGAATATATTATCTAAGGGGTAGTTCTACACAAGTGTCATACTAACTAATCGTAATCTTGGTTGACAAGTCCTATCATGCCACTCTAAACGTCTAAATCTCTTACATTACGGACGTTATATTATGTAGAAGTCGACGAAAAGTTGTACAGGTGCTAGTTAGCAAGTGGTCCGTACATGCTCACTCTGAGGTTTACAAGGCGGGACCCAGTTACATATTTCGAATTCACGGTAACTACACTTCTAACATTGCTATGAGTACGGTTCGTTGGCTATAAATCGTAGATGGTTAGAGCTGTATTTAAGAATCACAAGACCCAGTTGTCTTCAGCAAATACTAATCAACTCTTTAATTTCCTACTTGTTTTCAACAGAAGCATCTTACGTTCAATAATCATAGTAAAGGGAATTCCGTTCGTCAAACCTATTGTCTAATACTCACATATATTTCCATCAAACACTCGTGATCATTATCAACCTGTAATATTTTCGCTACCTGTTCACAGTCGCATTTCAACCCGATCAGGAACTTCCATAACCTGCAGTTGAACGGGCAACATGGATTAAATTATGCTTAAGTGACCGATGTTCATCGAAAACTTATAATAATTAAGGTTTATTGTTCTGCTGTCGTTTACACTCCTCCTCTGATTTTGTCGACACTGCTGTTTTTTAAGCGACATACTAAACTAAAGCTGTTAGCTGAAATAAGTGTTAGTAAGGATGGAGGAAGTGCCACGTAAATTTTGATAGATGGTTACTAATCTCGATGTAACCTGCAGCTGGCAGTTTATTATTTGACCAGTTGGGTATTTCACGGTAGTCATGTTTTTGTACAGGTGACTGTCTTAATTCATTGATATTCATGTTCCTTGTCTGGTTCTTTGAACTGATATGTTAAAAGTATGTTAAGTAAGTTGAATTACGCTTCAGTCTTCCAAATCCACTTTGCGCCGTGAATTACCACTGGTCGATCATGAGTCATTCGCACCAAAGCCGTGAGCTAAGGTAGCCAAGTTGACCACACCTCGTGTGCAGCTAACTTAAACATAAGTCCAACAAATTCTGCTCGCACAACAGTTGTGGTAACAACAGAGGAACTAAACCAGGCCTCGAAATTGAGGGGCAACAAGAGGCGTACGACGAAATAAGAACTAACTGATTGTCGTTTGCCATGAATTGTTTCCATATCAAGTGACAGTTCAAAGTTGGCGCCAGCTGACAAGGTCCGCATCTTCATAAATTGTGTTCCTTATCTTCATATTCCATTAATATTCTTTTATTCACTACGACGGATTTTATTCGCTCGTTTTTCCTTCCCAGCCTATATCTTGTGTTATTTTGAGGCGTGACTCCTATAGCCTGCGTTTTTGTGTCCGGATCTTACTAGTCCAATCTAAACTTTCCTTATACTTTCTTTAGTAATATGAGCTGTCCTCAAACACTACTGCAAAATGTGCTCTTATTTACTCATGTTCTTTGGACAACCGTTGTGCGTAGTCATGCAAACAACACCCTAGCAAAGATGCATGTTAGTTCAAGCTGTCATTCTCCACATCAGATTAAGTAAAGACGACGTGTAAAAACACCAGCAATTTTACAAGCTCAGAAGGCGAAAATGCAAAGGAACATAGATAATTCATGATAAGGGTCTCAAGATTTTGAAAATGAAGCGTGGGTGCATCTTCACAGTCAATTTCGATGTATATCACTTAAATTCCCTATTTATTGATTTTGACTGTCTTATGCACTTCAACTACGCAAATCCTCCAGGCTAACGATACGGGACTTCACAAATTATGTTTATTTGTTCTGAACTGAACCATTGAAAACGATTGAGATGCGTTTCTCACCTCCCTTAAACTAACTGGTACTTCAGAACTGGCTAATAATGATATTCCATTTGATGGTAGGTCGCGCTGATCCCCACTCACTCAAGTCAAACCCTTCCATATGAATCAGTGTTGAGGGGGTATGACTCAAAATCGATCTCCATCGCAGTTGCATTCACATCCTAATCTTAGTCATCATGCGGAATCCTGCTACTGTTTTGTCCATTCATCTCTTTTTACTATCTACCACTTTTGAGTACCCTCTTCCTTATTTCTCTGTCCCATCTCTGCGCCCTCCACCTTGATATGCTGACATGAGGTGTGACACCTCGGACCGTTACGCAGCGATCGCAGACCTCATGTTGATACTGAGTGACTGAGTCGGTGACTGATAAAGTCTCTTTACAGATAAAAAGAATGGAATTATTTTTTACTAATTTGCACCACTTTTCGTTCACGGTCCTAAACTAAACACTTACATCACTGAATGTAGAGAAAATGATAATGCACCGAGGTGTTTGACCACTGTTGCCTTTGTAGTATTTAATGTATGTCCAAGGACTACAAAGTGAGTTGCGTAGATGTTATATGAAGGTTAGATTAAAAGATGAAAGTAATTGACTGATTTATTTGGGTTGTGCTAGTCTCTTCAAACTATTGTTTATACCCAGTATTCGTTGCCAACTAAAGTAGCTTTATATTTCAAAAAGGTTGAAGGCAGCCAAACTAAAACTTGGCATTAATGCATTAATCTTTTTTTTGTTGGTCTGAGCTGTGTGACGAAATGCAAACATCTAGGTTGTGGGCCGTTCAACCGCTGAAATCTACTTTTAAGACTAGACACTGACAGACAAAATCAACTTAGGACCAACCTCGCACATGAGTGGATGGAAAAAGAGCAATGTTGAGGTTGGCCAAAGAATATGTAATAAGGAAGAATTCTAAATATGATTCGTGAAAATGTTCAAACTGTAAAAAATATCAAAGAGTAAAAACGTCTACGTCATTGTGACCGATTTTGAGCTATTTCACTAAGGCTCTTCAACCGTAGATTCCTATTTTTCGAGGACCTCAGGCGGGTAGTCTGCACATCTCTACGCGTCTCAGGACAAAGATCAGACATTTTGTGGATTGATTCCACGCCATGTTGGTGTCATCCTGAACATTCTTTCAAGCCATTGCAACTTCAGTTAACACCACACGGCGTAGGTAGTGGCTCAAGATATACATCTTGTGTCCAAGACACCTCAGTCTCTTTAAGTTCGCAACTTCATCTACTGGCATTCTTTTCTTGTCTAGTACTCTTCACCTGACCTCGACGTTGTTCACATGGTGATCCCACTATACATGGGAAATACTACGAATACACCTGTGTTCGAAATCATGTAGGCTCTTCATATCTTTCAACAACCGTACCTCAGCCATATAATAGAAGAGAGCAAACTACAGCTCAGTATACTCGTCCTCTAACGAGTAGTTGCGTGTATCTCCGGTGTTAGACATAACTGAGTTTGACGAATAACAATTGTGCCTTCTGCATTGGAGCTGAAAAACTTTCCGTGATCAATACATTTGTGCTAAATGAAGTGGTCAACACATTTCATCACTTCACTCCATATGCTATTATATTTGGCATGGTATATTTTCGCAACTGAGATTTATACTTGAATGTTTTCACACGCGTTACGGATTTTATATGCCTAGTATTTTCTTAATGTTTCGTCTTCTCTTCATTTCAGGGTTGTGTGGATGTATTCGGGGCATTCTTGAAACGGAATCTAATAATTGTTGCTTGTGTCGCTTTCGGTGTATGCTTCTTCCAACTGTTGAGCATCATTATAGCCTGTTGTCTAGGCCAACAAATAAGAGAATATGAAAATGTTTAGCTGGAAAGTAGATGCACAGTGTATGTGGATGCGTGCGTGTGTAAACACTTCCTTTTCTCCTGGTTTTTATCAATAATGCTTTTTTTTATTGCCTAGATAATTGTGCCTTGGTTATATATATTCTTGTAATGTGTCGACTACATTTACGATCATGATTCTTCTAATGACATCCTATATATTATGTACTTACTACCATTGTCACTGACAGCGCATTGATTCCACAGTATACTTATTGACGTATACCTGCAAAATTATGATGATAATCAAATTGCCTTCTCTTCCCTCTCCTTTTCATGTCACATTCATGGTGTGCATCTCTTTCTTGACATTCGTTTAATCAATGCTTCTGCATATATATATACACGTAAATTTTCATTCTCGATGATGAAAAATGTGTTGTTTTACTTTTTAAAATTATGCTTTGTTGTTCTCCGATATCATTGGAAAATTTTCTTGTATAAATAAATACACGCCTGTTGTTCAAATTATATCTGTCTTTTCGATTTTTGATCCTAAATAACGCTTGTACGTTCATTTCATGCCACGTTTTCAATAGTTTGTTTAGTGCTACTAAGGAGAAGCCCAGACTTATGGTTTCAGCATAAATTTCTTTGCTTCTGAAGCCATTTTAGAATATGTTCTCTGGCTTTTGTCAGACGGACGGAATCAGCGTGCGACCTCGCACATAAGTGCATCGGTTCAATTTGCCATACTTCACAATATAACAAAGAACAGGTGGATAGAATAAGACTGATATAAAAGCAGACCAAGTTGTGTGCGAGAATGAACAATTTGAAGATCAAAGTTGATGAGAATATCCAAGCTTTAGAAGACATCATGAAGTGAATACTTTTAGACCTCTGTGACAGGTTTTCAGCCATTTCACTAGGAGTTCTCAACCACAGAATCGTGTCGCCTCAGGGGCACTGGTCAGGTAGTCCTCACTGACTGGTGCTGCGTTTTAGTCTGACCACCCTGAACCCTCTTTCAACCTAAATCGCCTTCTACCATTGTGGTAAGTCAAGGTAGACGGTAGCACGACATATGCCCAAACCACCTTAGCAAGTGAAGGTTCACACGCTCATCAATCGGCTTGCCTAGCACCATTTGCCTTCCTCACATGGTGATTCCACCAAACGCGAGCAATGCCATAAAGGCACCTGCAATCAAAAACCTGTGACCGCTCCATGTCTCCTACACTTAAAGGTTATATTTCACGGCCGTATAGTAAAATAGACAACGCAGTAGGATCCCCCTTTGATAGATAATCGAATACTTCACCTCTAGGCACAAGAAATTACTCAAGTTGACAAGTGTTAAATGGGCTTTGTGTATCCGAGCTAAGATTTCGTCACCAACCGCCCTGTTCGTCAGGCTGGTCCAATTCTCAAAGTAAGTGGAGTGGTCGACACACTACTCCCTATTATTAAACTGGAAGTAGTTGCAGACCAGCCCTCGAGCATCACCTTGCTTCCAATGTTCGGTGAGTTCTCACTGTGCGTATGTGGCCACATTTACATCTAAATTGTTGAGTACGGTGTGACATAGTCTTCCACCAGTTCCAAGGGCTTCATTTTTCATTGTCCTAACCGTAGCTGCATAATATGCTTTCTTCACGGTAAATTTAAGCCTTTGTGTCTGACTATCAGACTGTTTACATCATCAGTGCACGGTAACTCAATGAATACATCTCTTTTCGGGACAGTGCACAGTATGTCTCAATACTCTCCCCGCTTTGTGTCCTCATCAATAGTCTTGTCTCCTATAACGTATCATGCAGGTCTATTCGTTAAGTTATATTAAACAAGTACCTCATTGAGCCTCGTTTATATCGAAGTGGATAGAAACTATAATACTTTGAATATTGCCCTGTCCATGTAACTTTCTGTAGATAAATTGTTTTATCTACCCGACTAATCGGTATGTCTAATGATAGTCATTTTTCGTTCTTTCTGGTGAATGTTATTTAGTTGGAGGCAATCGGCAAAGCGTCTTTGATTTAGATTTCGTACTCCCCCGTGAGATTCGAACTCGCGTCATCTAGTGTTGCAGTCAGCGAGGTATACGGACCGTAGAACTGGATTACATACACTGATTGGTCACTGCAGAGCAACCAATCCCATGTTGTCTAGTCGATCCTGAGTGCTGACCAACAGGATCGGTTATTTCGCAATATGGCCACCAAGCTGGGAGACATATCATCGCCTTGCTGACGAGTGCTAACAAGCATGGAGCTTAGTTCGGTCGGGGCTTGCTGCCGACTGCCTCCAATCGACTTAAATTCATCAAACTACACCGCGATGGTAAGACGGTCAATCAAATTCAGTCAGGACTGGAATGGATTACTCTGCAATGATCAATCAATATATCTGTCGTTCTCTTTAACATTTGCTGAAGATAGACTACTTTGTGTTTCGTTCATTTGATTTTTAGAATTGCAATATCATAATGTGAATCGTCACTTATGACTTCGATATCAGCCACATATGTTTTATAAAATGGGACTTTGTCAAGAAAACCTTCAGATAACTTTTCACCATGCTATAATAGGATTCCCATTAGCAGCACCATCAATCTGATGCATTATATTTACCCTCAGACGTAGACTTTACCGCTGTTAGTACATAAAAGTAGTATAGGTGCTTTACATAAGGGGGTAGCTTTAAAAGGTTACTTTGGCAACTGCTGAGACAACCAATTAGCCTTCTATATTTCAAGAAATACTACATGTCTAACCGGAATACTAAAACCTGATTGGTTATTGCAGCAGTTGCCAGAATGGTCTTTAAAATCTCTCGATTTGGGTAATTATGCGTAGAAGTGTAACCACGTGAAATGTCTATTGTTTTCTTTTGACTAAAGGGAGCTTCGAGAACAGAGTGTTAACACCAAAAGGATATGCAGTTTTAATTCTAAGGTTAATATCACCGAGGTAATCAGTCAACCTAATTAGGTTCAACAATCCCACTAGCTTCTGAGCACATTGGTAATATGGAGTGTAGCGGCCATGTGTGAATTTGGACTTCGTTGCGACCAATTTTTCTTTGGTGGTGATGTTTAACTGTCAGTATTACCTATGATACCTCCACATCTCAACGATGATCTAAACAAAACTTACTTGGATCATCAAGAAAGGATGACATTTCAGATTTGGAATCATGACTCTTGAAACTTTGTCAGTTGTGAAAATGTTTATATTAGGGGATTCAATAAAGCCGCGTGACGTCTTGGCATTCATCTGCTTTTCTGTTTCGAATGGTCTTTTAAATACTTCTCGGTTATATTTACCAATTAGGCTTAAAAGCAAGCGACCCCGATCATCGGAAGTTGTAACAAAGCGCTGAAGTTGTTCTTACAGATTTTCAAACTGTGTACAGTTAGCCAATTCTGAAGACTGATTAACCAGGACTGCTAACTGCATCGAAGTAAAAGTTTCAGTCATGAAAACTCGCTTTAATTAGGTATATTTCAGCCTGCAAACTCAGTATGGTGAGTATTTGTTTAGAGGTTCGTCTTCTACGTAACTGCTGCATAAGACGGACTGGTGAAAAACCTAAACTGTTTTGATAACCACGTAAGTCACATCTGTAACACTCAGGTCAATCAATAGACGGATCCAGTCTGTCGACCAATCAGCATCATCAATATGATAAAAGTTCATGTCAGTAAAATAACCAATCGAAATACATTTGGAGATAATGACAAGATTTTAGCAGAATCAACCAACTACTCCAAAAGTTCATCAGAACAAGCTACCAAGTTACTTCCATATTAAACTGTTTATTTGATATAGCACATATTGAATGAAACCGTATAATTTACTGGATGATGTTACGAGCACCATTTATTGGTCGTAATCATACGAGTTCCAAGTCTCACCTTTATATAGTTCAATACTTCTTCATTCTTCTCTTTTAATGGTTATAAGATTTTCCAGATATCCCCACTATATGATGATTCACTCCTGTTACGTATGGATTCAATGAACAAAGATTTAATGATCAATATCTCCCTCCAAACTAGTCAGCTATATTGGACATGAGAAGTGTCACCCTATGACATTAAAGGTAGTCGCAAGTGACCAGTACTCAGAAAGAGAACTGAAGTTTCTCTTGAAGAAGTTACGCTAGAGATAAGATTATGTTTTACTCCCAGTTTTCAAAAGAAAATATATAAACAAACAAGGAGTAGTAACGGGATCTCCAATATCCTTGATCATAGCAGACATATTTATGGATAGTTGGGAACAAATGGCACTAGGAACATTCCAACCCACCTCAAAAGTATGGTACCAATATGTAGATGACACATTTACTGGGCTGAAATCAGAACACATTCAACGATTTTTCACACGTTAACTAGATTGTAGATTCAATGCAATTCACTTATGAAGGAGGAGAATTATTCATATTGGATTGTAAAATCAAGAGGAGAGAAGTTGGACGCCAAGATACCAGTGTTAATAAGAAACTTGACTCGATACTTGGATTTCACATCATCTCTCCCTATATTTGTCAAGATGGGCTTAATAAATTATCTAAATAATCGAGCTAGGAGTTTGACTAGTAAGTCAGAAAACGTGAATAAGGAAGTGAAACACACCAAGGGTACGCTACTTCTGAAACAACTCCTCTCCGGAACTTATCAAAACGTTTATAAAGACTGAAAAGAGAAAGAGTAGTAATATTAATGGAGGTTGTAATATGGCTAAGTGGGAATTCAAATCATCTGTATGGTGTTGCCCTATCAAGAAGGCTCATCTGAAATTTTACGTAGAATTGTTAACAATGCTGGCTGGGATCAGGGTAGCAGCATATAGACCTACAAACTCGCTCGGAGAGAAACTTTGTAGGCTAATAACAGATCCCATAGAGCCAATTCAGAAAAGTAACCTAGTCTATCACTTACCATTCAGCCAATCGGAGTCAGTCAGCATAGTGGAGCACAAATATTTGGCGAGACATACAATGGTAGACCCTACTAAGATGAGTAATTTAGAGAAAAACTTGGCTATTGGTCTACATGCACTGACCCATAATTACACTATGGGACGGGATAAGGTGACAACACTAGAGACAGATTGATCACACAATGTTTGTTCATTGAATCAACATGTAGCAGGAGTGAATCCACATAATGGGGATATCTGGAAAATTTTACCAGCATAAGAGAATGAAGAAGTTTGGGAGTTGCATGATTACTTTGACATGAATATGAGCAATAAATGGTGCTCGTAACGTCATCCAGTAAATGATACTGTATACAGTGTCAGATATCCCGTAACATTACTAAGCCACTTTTTGAGCAAAGTCCTATAACTCACTTCTTACTGAAGTTTATGCTGATGCTATTGTCTAGAATGATCATAAAAACTTGACGACTAAACCATCCACCTCAAAGAACCCAACACCACTCAAATCTCACAATGTTTGATAAACTTTACTGAAGCATGATACCAGTGTAAAAATGAATTCAATCAAAGGAATGT